TGCATTTTGCATATTAGCCTTTTATATATACAGATGAGAAGACAATCAGTCCTTCTCCAACCTTGGAAGTCTGAGCTCTGAAAATGCTCACGGTAGGAAAATGTGCAGTTCAAGATCGTCCAGGGGAAAAGAGGGCTGGGGGAGACTAGTGATGCGTGGCCATAGGAAAACCATCACAAATACTTGTGCAGGCAGTCAAATAAAAAACAACTGAACAAAACACCCATATTGCATATTTTATATTTTAAAGTTGTTAATAAGTCTTATTATAGTATCACCATCTCTTTTCAGGATTGTGCCCCTTCACAGTGCCACAAATATTTGGGGGTGGGGCCAAAATATGGACCATAAACATTCACTGGGATCTTGTCAAGGCTGAACGATTCTATGACCTCCCAGGAAGATCCCACCATGGCTCAGAGACCGAAGGGAAGCAGGGGCAGAAAATGATGCTTGTGGATCGCTGCATTTGCTTACAAAAAACCAAATTCCATGCCTGACATTCTCTTCATAAGATCTCAGCTTTTCTTTCTCTAAGCTGCAAATAAGGTGTGAAATACAACTAGCTCAGAAAAGGAAAGTATTATATTCCTACCATTGAATGACATGACATCTTTTCACAGATTTGGTGGGGAATGAAAGAAGGGAGTGGGAGCAAGAAGCCAATCTAGCATTTGAGGGGGAACTGGGAAGGTGATGAGAGGGGACAATGAGAACGGACTGCACAGGTCGATTTAGAAGGAACCTACACGTTAAAATAAAAACAAACATAAAGTAAATGAGATCACTCTAGACACTGAATGCCCTGCATGTCTGCAGTCTGGGAGGATGGAGGAGTGTTTTTTGCAGGGCCTGGTGTAGACTGGCTTCCACTACCCCAGGATGGAAAAGGTTTCTAGACAAAACCTCAAAGGTAGGTTATTGTTCAGACAAAACAAACCACATTCTCTAGTGCACTGACCATCATTTCATCATTTTCAATTGTATGACTAGGGCCTGTCTTTTGGATGGTAGGGACCTGCCTGTCCTTTTATGGTATAACCCGGGGCAATCAACACTCATTCACTGACCCACAGGAGGCAACGCAGGGGCAGCCTTAAAAGGACATAGGCAGGATTTAGGGGAGAGAGAAAGCTGCCCCGGGGAGGACAATGAAAATCAAAGGAGAAGACGACCCCGCCCCCCCTCCCCCCACTAATAAGCTCCTCTCAGCAGGAATCTTCAGGACTGATTCGCACTCAAGGCCTCCTTTGCAAAGAACTGTTAGGTTTATATTAAAAAACTAAAACTTTGAACAACTGCAGAAGTAGAAACTAGAATTTCTCTTTTAAAAAAATATATTTTTATTGATTTCAGGAGGAAGGGAGAGGGAGAGAGAGAGGTAGAAACATCAATGATGAGAGAGAATCGTTGATGGGCTGCCTCCTCACACCCTGTCCTGGGGATCGAGCCCACAACCTGGACAGGTGCCCTGATTGGGAATTGAACTATGATCTCCTGGTTCATAGGTTGATGTTCAACCACTGAGCCACACCTGCTGGGCATGAAGTACTAATAAGGTACCTGTTGGATTAAAAAATAAATGCCATGCATAGTCTAGCACCAGTCAAGCCTTCAGAGGACTGACATCCGGGCCCACATTTTGACAACTTCCTGAGAAACCGTGAGCAAAAACCATCCAGCTAGGAGATGCTCCTGAATTTCTGACTTTCAGAAACTGTGTGAGACAATAGATATGTGTTGTTTTAAACCATTACATTGGGGGTCGCTGGTCATGCTGAAGAGTCCTTTGTAGGACAATGGTGATTTTCTACTTGATCTCCTTGGGTGTCGTTGGTTAATCTCAGTTTCTCTCTCTATGACTGAAATGGAACCCTGTTCTCAGATCAGGCTTATGGACACATGTAGAGCCAAGAGCCACATCTGATGTTGGCCGATGTTTTTATTTTAATGTGGGTGCTGAACTGCTGCCCAGATAAATAGGAGAAAGGCATTCTTAATCCGACAGAAAGACTTTATTACCTCGGCCTTCCCTACTATGATCTGAAACCCCTGGGGCCAGATGGATTTCAAAATTCAAACTTTTATACATTTCAGAACGGTACTCTACTTACCTCAAACCCTCAGTGAGGTCTGGGGCAACAACTTGTCATCAGAAATCACACATTAGTATTTATGCAATAAGATGTATGATTATTCATACCAAATGAGATAACGGAAGACTAGAAAAAGCTTCAGGATTTTCCACTAAGTATGTTCAGTAGGTTAGATTTTTTTTCCGGAGCTTTTAGATTTCAGAACTGAATAATGGATTGTAAACCTCTACTACTTTTACATTGAAAGTTTCTCTCCCTCATCTTTTTCTCATGTTTCCTCTTGTCAGATAGCTATGGAGTCACTACTCAAGTCTACTAAGAAATGCTTTCTTTAAATAGTTTGGAGTTTCATCTACCTCTCAGCGGTTCCCGAGCTTGGCTGCATATTAGAGCCAATTGGGGGCTTTGAACAACTACTTATACTTGGTTCCCAGCTAAATCAGATCCTCCGGGCATCAGTATTTGCTGCTGCTGTTGTTGCAAAGGTTCCTACGTGCTTCTAGGTTGTATCGCGAGTTGAGAATCATTCTTCTATTTAATAAGGTATCTTAGTTTTCCCAAGACTCAACCTCTTTATCTTATGACCATTTCAACTGACAGTCGCTCTTTACTTTTTATTTTGTTCTCCTCTAATTTAATTAATCTATAAAGGAACATGGCCCACTGTGTTCTAGATATTAAATGAGGCTATAACTCAACCCAATGATAAGATTCAGTTACTAGCAACAATTTGACAGACACCATCTCTTCAAGTACCAGGAAAGTTGCTTTTTAAGGGATGCTTTTTAAGAAACTTAAACTTTAATTTAAAATGCAGTTCATTCGATATAAAAAAAACTATATAAATCAAAACACATCTGTATTTGGGTATGTTTGCTCTTGTAAATATCTGTATAGTGGATAATTAAAGGACTGGTTAGACGTATTTCAAAAATTCCCCTCTCCTCATGTTGAATTGTTTGGATTTTCTATCTTCCATAACCAGCAGGGCTGTTCACAAACTAGTCCTGAAATTTAACAGGCCCAAGAGTCCATCTTATGTCTAGCGTTCTGTCTTCTTTACTTTCTGGTACTTCGATAGTGCCTGCAGCCTCTA